CCATATCTCTGAGTTTTGAGTGGGCGCATGTCGCCAGTGTGCTGCGTTACTGTTTACATGTGTGAAAAGTGTGTTTGAAAACGAGTCTGATTGCAAATCTTGTTTTTGCCTTCTTTTTGGCTGTGGCATCCTGTTCCCTTTCTCCCCTTTTCCTCCTTGCTTTTCTTGCCCCTTCCTTTCCTTTCCCGTTGCTTCACTCCTTTCCTCCTTCGGGGCAATTTGCTCACTTCCCTTCTCCTTTTCCTCGCTTCCGTTGTATCTTCCTTACCTTAGATTCCCTGTTCTTTTTCCACTTTTAATCATTGCTCTCCCCTTCTCTCCACTTCTCCTCTTTTCTTCTCCCCGTCTTCACCTGCCTTTCCTGTCTCTTTGCCATGAATGGAGGAGCAGCGTGGTTGCGCCTATCGTTTACCGCCTTACGCTTCGCTGTTTGAAAAAGAGATGTCGCGTGGGGCGAAATTTCGCGCGCTCGTTGGTTGAAGGAAGTCAGTAATTCGCGCGGTGATAGCGCTTACCAGTCGGTGCTGGCGCTCCATCGGACGTCCAGATTGACTCGGGACGTTTTTGAATATTTTTCCCTTGGATTTGGATAAGAATTTCGAGGTGACTCTCAGCCAAAAGTTGTTTGTATCCGATGGTTGGAGGAATCTTAAGTCCATGCCACTCATGGCTATTGGGCCGGAACCCTCCACACTGTAGCAGAACCTGGAACCTTAAACCTTGGTACAATGATGAGCTGGATGTACTAGTTACTGAAGCCTTTCTGGCGCCCGAAGGCTGAAGTGGTCTGTCCTTGCAGTTGAGTATAACATCAGTGAGGAAACATATACCGGCTTCTCAGCCAGTTGTACAGGTCCAGATGCCCAGCCCTTCAGTTCACAAGGCGCGTGACACTAGTGGGCATGATACTGTCTTGAAGAGAGATCATAGAGACAGGGATATGGGTAGAATGGGAAAAGATCGGTCAGAAGATAGACAGAGACATAGAACAGGTAAACCACCGCTCCCTCCGAGCCTCTTTTTGCCGAGGTGGAAAAAGAACTGCGCGCCAAGCTATGCCAAAGCGCCTGGGGGACTCTTTTTTGTGTTTTGGCTGGCGCCGCCAGCCATTTTGGTCCTGTGGCTCCGGCTCCCGAAGAATGCACTATAGGTTATACCACATTCGTAGGAGGTTTCAAGTTTGTGGTGGCTTAAAACAACGGAACAGTGAAAGCAATCAAGGAGTGGCTCAAGGGGGGACCTATATCACAGATCAGAAGAAGAGTATTACGGTTCTGGAGATAGCTCCGGACACTTCCACAGCCAGACAAGGAAGAACAGGGTGCAGAATAATTACCTGGACAAAGAACATTGAGGCACAGGGGAAGTTAAGCATGGGACTTTAGACGGAGATTAAGCTCTGAAGGACCAAAGACGCAAGGGACAACAGTCAAAACCATACCAACAAAGGGACCCGGTTGAGGCTCTACAAGGACATTTGGCTATGAGCATCAGCTCTAGGAAGTCAAGAAGGAATCAGGCATCCCAATACGACGTGAGAAGAGCAAGACGAAGGCGAAGTACTCGGGGATCCAGTATGAAGAGCGGGACAAGGGAAACAGAGGTATATCCTTCCTTTCAAGAAAGTAATCAATGCTGCTGTTCGGGTTCTCTCGGCCATAACAGAGAGAAAGGTAGAGAGAGTAACTCATGTAAGGTATGACGCACCTGTTTTTTAGCAAATAATACAATTCTGTTTAAGAAAATATATAAATAAATTCATATCCAGTAATGCTTCCAATAACGTGGTACTCGTGTCTGTCTCTGTCTCTGTTTCTGTCTGTGTCTGTGTCTGTGTCTGTGTCTGTGTGTCTGTCTGTCTGTCTGTCTGTCTGTCTGTCTGTCTGTCTGTCTGTCTGTCTGTCTGTCTGTCTGTCTCTCTCTGTCTGTCTGTCTGTCTGTCTGTCTGT